CACTAGATGCAAAAGGCTACAATATTTCCTTCAGACATATAACTTCAGTTTATTGATTTCTTTTGTCAGCACAATGTTTTATATTGTAATCAAATTAGCACACTGTACTCAAGCAACCTTGCTGTCTTTAAGAATTAAGCAGTCAGCTTTACCTGAAAAAAATAATTTTGCACATGCCCTTGTCATTATTCACTTCTAAGAGAGATACAGGAAATTATCCTCCTTACACAAAATCCATGAGTCTATTCTTAGTATCTGAATAATCTCAAGATCATTTTAAGTTTCTCTAACGGGATGGAGAATTCCTTATTTAAAGCCACTTGAAAGAGAATGGAAACAGTTTTTTCACTCTTTCTCATAAAATTTTAATTCAAAATTGTAGTAATTTTAGATCTTTATAAAAGTCTTTATAAGATGTTAAGAACCTGAAATGTAATAGTGGTGCAAACATTTATGAAACTGTCTTCTGTTTATTGCGCATCATTTCCTCACCACAACAATGCTGTTATTCACTGTTGTATAATTTATCGTAGTGCCACTTTAATTGTGTTTTCAGTGTTCATAGGAAAGCATTCTATTTGGGATAATTACTCACTTTGGAGTTGATCAGCAATATGGTTCATGAGCACCTCTGAAAATTACCCTAACTGTCTGCAGAAAGCATTTTCTTGAAAGTGCAAGATACTGTGTTTCTGTTTTTGTTTGTTTGTTTGTTTTGTTTTTATTTTTTTCTCTTTTCCTTTTCTCTCTCCTTTTCTGTCCCCAAAACATTTGATGGCTGCTCTAGAGCAGGCTGATGTCCACAGAAGTCTTTGCCACTTATTTATAGACATATGATCTCTTCTGTTTTCTTTGTACCTGTGGTGACATTGGTAGTAGGGTGATGGTTGGACCAGAATATCTTGAAAGTCTTTTCCAACTTTAATAATTCTATGATTCTATGATTTACCTAAGATCCCTAAAATGCTCAACTAACTTTAAGGCACTTCCTTAACATTTCAGTTTATGTAAGACAAGTAAGCAAATCCAGCTGGATCTCTTGGCAACTTGGGTGTCCACTGGGAAACATGTATTTCAGTATAAATATCCATTATGAAATCATCACTAAGATTTAAGTTTCTCTATTTAATTACATTTGCATTGAACATGCAATCATCAATCAATTTAAAAATAAAGCAATCCTTGCTATTCCTGTTTAGACTGCAAAGCACCGTGAGGATGGTTCTTTATAAACAAGCTCAGTCGCAGCAAGTTTACAGATCCCCAGCTCTTGTAAACTGACTTAAGTGCGGCAATGATACTTAATATGGTTCTGTTGCCAGAGCCTAATTCTGCCACTTTATTCATACCAGGCTACTGTCATAGGCAATCCCACTGAGCTAAACAAATAACTAACATGGGGGAAAAATATGTTATTTGTATCTTCTGGTCTTTTTGCTAACTTCACAAGTAGTAAAACTTTTTAGTAGAAAAGCTCTGTTGATGCGAAAGTTTGAGGCTGTTGTGTGTCAGATAAAAGACATGGAATTTACAGATATTCCTTCAATTCTGAGTATGGTATCCCCACAGATCTGAGGTATTAATCAAGCACGTGTGTAATATTATGTAATATTGTGCCTTCCTTTCCCCTGAGATTTTTCTGGCAAGTTTTTTCAGTCACTGGACCTGGATTCCTTTGAGAACCTATCAAATTTATTTTCCCCACATTTGAAATAACTACCTGGGTAGAATGGTTACTGTACCCCTTGATTTTGCATCTCTTGGCAGTTCATATGGGATATTGCTAACTGATGCTCATTTCTGGTCTTGTTTCTTTAACTTACATAGCACGAAAGTGTGCTTGTTTTCTGCCATTGTGTTTGATCATCAGGGTCTTTTCCATCCTAAATGATTCTATGATTCAGTGTTCATTATGCATGTGATTTTATCCAGAAATTCCCTTGTCTAAGCACATCCATGAAACTCCCTGTCTCCCCAGTAAATAGCATTCTTTTTAAACACAAATGCCATTAGTCAAAGAATGGCAGGCATTGCAGGCATATCGTCATTGGCATAGATTAGTGTTTTACAGCACTTTGAAATGCTCATCTTCTGGTTAATTTAATGCATTGTCACAAATGCATTATAGAGCCATATAGATATCGGTGGCAGAAAAGCTGAGAACTTCTGGATCTTTCTAATCTCCTTTTGTGTGACCTCAGTGTGATATGCTGCTCTGGTTCAGCAAGATACACTTTTTTTCAGACCTTTCTTCTGGAACAAAGGAGTTGTTCCATAAACAGCAGAAACAATGAAGCACTGCATACTTCAGTGTCGCCTAATCTCCTTTCCTTCCCTCCACTCCCTAGTCTGTCTCGGGACCCCTGCAATGTATCCACCATGTAAAAGTTTGTATGTGTGAGAGCACTTGGAGCTATGTGTCTACCCATGGACAAACCAACTGCTGCCTCTTCCTTCAGTGCGGTCTCCTCTCTTGCAGTTGTACTAGAGGAATGTGACCATCATTGAGATTTATATCCATTGTTCACGTTCTGTTGTGGTTAACCCAGGTGCTTCAGAGGGACAGAGAGGATGTTCCCCACTTCCTCAAGAAACTGTGCTAATGTCAGATTTATCTGAATGCTGTAGTAATATTGCCTGGACAGTCCACATGGAGGGCTTTGCTCACTGCTGTGGACGAACAGTTAAGCAGACTCCTCAGAACAAGGAATCTTGTTTAGAAGCAAGTATTCTCATCCCATACCAAAGCAGCAAGAACTGGCCACTAACATAGGACATTGGTGAAATTTGATGAGAATCTGATGAAGATTTATGATTTAAAGTAAGCAAACTTGGTATAATACTATTCCTTCTATTATGTGTAGTTTTCATGGGGCAATGGACTTCCTGCTTCCTTCTGTACTGTCTGTGAAGTGTCTATTGTACATTGATTTCAGTCTTCACATCTGTGTATGTGTGGAGATCAAGGTGCTTCTGCATCGCCTCTGGCCCTTAATAAAGCAGAGTATACTAGCTGATAAAATATGAGTACCAGTTACTTGGTTTTATTTATTAATACTGTATTTCTTGCACTTCGGCCCGGATGGTAGTGCTCCAAACACATTAAAACCAAGGATAAATTTGATCATGGCTTCTTATTCACTTCTTAGGGAGCGTTTATTGCTTTCTGCTCATTTATATTTCTTTCAGGGGTTTTACCTAATATTTATTTTAACCCTTCTGTATTACTTCACTAACGATGTTTATTTCTGTAGTTGGATGCTGTGACTGACAGAACCTTCTTACCTGAAGGGAAAATTCTTTCACCAAAAAGCCTTCTTTTGCTGTGCTTTTCTGGACCAAAATAAAGCCCTTAGCCAGAAGTTTCTGCAAGTAGGTATCTCTCCTGACATTCAACAGAATTCCTCCTAAATATATATTCTTTTGTCACATAAAAGTGTTTGCTGAAGCTGCCATAGTTTGGATTTCCAGAATGATATGGAGAATTATAGTTCCATACACACTTAAGGATACATGAAAACAAATCTATTTGTTTTTTGATACCTTAAAAAAATCTTCACTTTCAAAAGTGGAGTCACTTCGTACATCATTGAGCAATAACATTCTGATTTACGTGGTGTAGGTTCACCAAGAAATTGTACAAAACTCTCACTGTCCCCTCAACCAGCACTTGCTGTTCTTGTCCTTAAGTATACTGAAATAACCTCTCCTGACGAACGACTTTGGGTTTTAATTATGTATCGTGTTGATCCCAGCAAGATCTGCTAACTATACAATTTCTTCCTCCCATATTTCATAATTTTGTAAGAGTACTGTGCAGCACGGGTCAACCTGAAGATACCAATGATGGTATTTGTAAAAGTTTTATGCAGCGGGATTTCTTGTCTCCCTCCCCCTCCCTAAAACTGAAATCCTGCTGAAAAGAGGGAGGGAAAAAAATAAGATTTATTAGGGGTGTGTTAATGTGGATTAATATTTTATTAACTACTTCCACTGTTCCACATTAATATAAATCCACTTCTATCTCCCTGCATGTATCATACAGGTGGTAAGGTGGCAAATTTGTAGAAGCTGCTCTAGAGACCATAACTTAATTAATGCAAGAAAAAAAAATTACCTCATCAAAGTCAAGCTGGATGACAATTCGCCTCTTTACTTATGAGCAGGGTTTTCTTTTTGTTTTTACAAAGTAAGACTGTAGGTGAGAGAGCACTGAAGCACCGAGAAGGCACGCAATTCATTTTTTATTGGTTTTATTCCGCACACAGTCGTAAATAGCAGAGGTATTTTCTCCCCTCCGTGCTACTAACAGAAGTCAACGCAGGTGAATTCCCGGACAGCTAATCTCAGAGGTGCGAGGCCGCGAACCGCCAGAGGCACCCGCCGCAGGGGCAGGGGCAGGGGCAGGGGCAGGGGCAGGGGCAGGGGCAGGGGCAGGGGCAGGGGCAGGGCAGGAGCCGCGGCCATGTCGCGTCCCCCGCCCCGCCGCTCCCTCACACGGCCGCCTCGCGCCCGCCGTCCCCTAACGGCAGGTGGGGGGCAGCCGCTGGGGGGACGCTGCAGGGACGCGGCGGGGGGTACCGGAGCCGCGCCAGCCCCTCGGTGCGCCACACTCGCACTCGGCTCTCCCTTCCCGGGGGACTTGGGGCTTCCCGCCGGGCTCCGCAGCCGAGCCGCCGCCTCTCCCTTCAGGCTGCCTCCCCTCGGGCGCGGGAGCAGCCTCCGCGGGGATGCTGCACGAGGCTCGCCTCGTCCCCCGGGGCGGGAGGGAAGAAGGGGAGAGAGGGAGGCTCCGAGCCCGCGGCGGAGGAATCGCGCTGAGGCCGGCGGCGTTTCACCCGTGCGTGTTCGGCGGAGGGATCCGCGCGGGCCGCCGTGTGCCCGCCCCCTGCGCGGCGGCCGCCGGCTCCCCGATATAGTGCGGCGCGGCGCGGCGCCCCCAGCCACTTGGCGAGCGGCGCGGTGCGGAGCGGAGCGGTGCGGAGAGGAGCGGAGCGGGGCTGCACGGCCGGCCGGGAGGGCTGGGCGGGCGGGAGGGAGCAGCGGCGGCGGCTGGCGGCGGGGCTGGCCTGGGCTGAGCACCTCTAACTTGGAACTGTCCGCCGGCGTGAGCTCCTGAACATGAGCCTCCTGCCTCTCTACCTGCTCGGATTGCTCCTCAGTAGCGGGCAAGGTAGGAGCGGGGCTGCTGCTGCTGCTTCTTATTTTTTTTTTTATTTTTTTTATTTTTATTTTCCTTTTTGAATAATTCGTACCTATGCCGTGGGCTCGCTCCATCGCTCAGGTTAGCGTGTCACTGAGAAAGAAACGGAGAAAAAAATCGAAGCGTCGCGTCCCGCTGGAATCGGATTGGAAGGGACCTCAAACTTGCCTCATTCGTCCCCTTCCCGTTTTATAACAGCCCTCGGGGAGAGGAGCCCTTCGTGAGGAAAGGGAGAAAAAAAAAAAAAAGCTGGGAGCTGCTCGGTGCACTTAGCTGCTTCGTACGGGGTCTTGGGGTCTTGCTTTTTTTTTTTTTTTTTTTTTTGGCGATAAATGTGGGAAGGCATCAAAGAAAAAACAAAAATAAGAAAGGCGCTGTCGGGGATCGCGCTGTCTGTCGGAGGGGAAGGCAGCGTGGGCACCGCCGAGAAGTGTCGCCGCGGAGCCCGCGAGGCACCTGCCGGGGGCTGTCCCCGTCAGGGCTTCCCCTGACGGCTGCGGCCAGGCGGACCCCGACCGCACCGCGCCGGCTGGGCTGGGCTGGGCTCGCCCCGGGGGTGGCGGCGAGGCGCTGCGGGTGCGGCTGCGGCCGCTTACGGGGGGCGCTCACGCAGGCAGCGGCTTGGGCCCCGCGGGGGGCAGGTGCGCGGGGCGGGGGCGTCTGGCAGCGGGGCTTGGTGGGGATGGGGATCGGGAGGGGGGGCGGCCGCGGCGAGCTTCGGCCGCGGGGGCCGTGCCCGCCGCCCGAGGGCACCGCCTCGCTCACCCGCTGTTTTTGGGGAGGTTTCAGGGGAAATAGCGGTGCTAGCGATGGAAAACGCGCCCCGCGCGAGCGGGGAGCATCCCTCCCTCGGGCCGGCCTTGCAGCAGGGGGCGGCAGAGCTCCACGGCCGCGCCGGCCGCTGCCCCGCGCTGGGGACGGGGCCTCGCCCCGCGGCGGGCCGGGGGTGCCGGGCCGGGCTGGACCGAGCCGGGCTGGGCGGGGGGTGCGGGGCGGGGGCCGGAGTCCCGCCCCGGTACCTGCCGGCGCCTTGCGGGGGGCGGCTGCGGGCTCCGCCGCGCCGGGTGAGGGGCGGGGGGCGCCCAGCAGTAAGGTGTGGGGACTGCGGCTCCCGGCGCCCCCGCCTTCCAGGAGCTCGTCTCCAAACCTCCTGCCGCGCAGACATTTTGTCTGGGCGAGAAGTAGCGAGCGAGCAACCACCAGATGCTCGCAATTCGCAGCGAGAGACTTCTCTGCTTTCGCCACCTCGGGACGAGCTCTGGAGGAGGTCTCCCGATTAGCGATTCAGAAGCGGTGCGGAGGCTTTCCAGCATCGCCGGGGTGGCGGAGGAGGAGGAGAAGGGAAAAGCATCCTTCGGTCTTGCCATTGATCCACCTGGGTGTAATGGTTGTGGAGACGTGGTCCGCCGTTCCCCTCAGGAGGAGCGGCAGAAAGCTACTTTGTGGAGTGTGGTTACTGCAGTGTAGACAGATTACATAGTTTCGGTATCGTACCATCGCAAACGTCAGGGGGTGAATAATGGAATGAAATCCGATGTGCCATTAGGCTGAGTTTTAAAAACGATAGCTGGATAGATAGGGAAGGGGGATGGAAAGAGGAGGATGAGAGCTCTATAAATCTAATATTGACAGTAAGTTATTAGTGTTAACTCAATGGAGAAAAGTATTTTTATAAAAGTAAATAGCTGTAAGGTGGGAAGTGTGAGATTTGAGTGGTTGTGGAAATTGCAGGACCACAGGTTGTGGAAAATAGCCTCAACCCACAATAGGGGATAGCAAATGAGAGTGGGAGAAACATCTGCATATGGAAAATATTGCCATTTAGGTTGCTAGGGGAGAGGAAGATTCTACAGGTTTTTTAATTTGAAAATAAGTATTGACTTGGTGAGGGCTTATTTTGCATTTTTTTTTGACACCTCCTCTTAGTAATCTTGAGATCTCTTGCAATGATGCAAGTAATCTGGGAGGGTATTCCAGAAACTCTGGAGTCTTACCCTGTTGATATGTGATAATTATGATTTTATTTAATGTTAAAATAGAGGTAGTGTAGACAGTTAAGAAAAACCCAGTAACGGGATTTGGATCATTTGCTTCAGAAATACTGAAAGTCTTAGAATGAAGACTTGCATTTCTGAGCATATAGCTGCAGCAGATTTCATGAAGAATAACTGAAGCTTTTTCATTACAAAATGCTGTTAGGTCTAAGACTGGGGCAAGGAAGCCATGATACTTTGTGCCATTTCAGAAAATCAGAGCAGTTTGAAAGCAAGTAGCTGACAGCCCCCTCCCCCCCACCCAGCTCACTTCAGAGCTTACAAGTGTCATAATTATCTACCAAGGCCAAATATTTTCTCTCCTTGTTTCATCACAAGGGAGGGATTTAACTGGCCATGTTGTTGTGCTAAAACAGAAGTATGTTTCCTTAACATTTAAAACCTACCCAAACTGAAAGACCCCAAATTAATTAGGTTTGGTTTAACAAATAAATAAGCGATAAAGAAAAAGCTCCTCTCTGTAACTCTGCCTTTTAGCATGTATAGTGATACAACACTCAGACTTCATTGGTTTTTAACAGTGTCTGGGGACACTGACTTAGAGTGAGTGAAATGGACACCTTCCCAGATCGCTAAATCCTATTTCTTCTATCACTCTGCATAATATACAGTTCTTTGGGTTAGCAAATTTCTGTTAAGCTGCAATAGAAAGCGTTTCGCTTGCAGGATTTAATCCATTTTGTATTCATCCAGAAGATTTGTATGAGTGAGTACTTATTCAGTCATTGAGCTTAAAGTTTCTTCTCTTTGCTGATTTGATAGCAAGTTCATTTTTGGTTTTGATGCAGAGTTTCTGTGTACAATTGTTTATAAGGGACTGTTTGCTAATAAAGAATGTTCTCTAAAACAGTTGCTAGCAGGTGCATCTTATTTGCCGCAGTGTAGTTATTTCCTCAAGTCTTGCTTCTTTCTGCTTTTTGTGTAGAGAATACATGAAATTTGGATTTTTTTAAGTCAATCACAGTTTGTCCAATGGATTAAGTACAATTTATATTATACTCTAATTGTAAACTGAAATCTGAAATGTTTATAACTTCAATATCTATCTATTTTCTGCTACCAGTTGATTTATACAACTGCAATAAGATGAAAACAAATCAGTCTGCCTTCACTCCTTTTTCACTCTTAAAACAAACAAAAAAAGGTGTTAAAGGAATGCTTGGTTTGATGTAACTCCTATGTAGCTAGCCTATGTAACTACTTTTCAAGTGAAGACAAAAGTCAAAATATCTGCCTGAAAATAAACTGGGATGTTCAGCAGATTGTCTCAAGAATGTATTGTTAAGAAATATGTGGTGTTTTGTTCCATGTAATTCTATACAAAATGATTTATGTAGAGATTTTTATTGTTTGCAGTGGCTTTAAATCATGAAATGTATGAAAATAAAGCTATAGAGCTAAAGCTTTGAAGTTTTTTATAAGAGGTTGAACAGTATCATTTTGACTGTCTTTCTCCTGCCAAGTGGTTCACGTATTTATTTAGCTAATTATTATCATCTGTGGGAATATTACTGTGGTGTTATGACCAACTTGTGTATTATTTGCCTTTCACAGCCTTTTAAAAATAAAATAAATTTGAGAGAAAATGCTGTATTTATTTGCCCTTTCATTGACCTTTTTATTTGAGGCACTTCTCCCAGATGATTCATGTTTGCCTACTGATTTTCTTCCAATTTATTCCAGTAATCCCCCAGTTACATTCAGTATGTGCCATCTGATTCCAGCATAATCAAGTTAACATGATGTTTTGGGAAACACATGTTCTAACTATGTAGTCATTTGTGTCTGAGTTGAAAATCCATTAGTGAAAGACTAGGACTGACTTATCTAGATATACAATATGGATTTATACTTCTATTTATATTTTAAATAGTTTATATGAAGTAACATGCCAGATGTTTTGCTCTTTCTCCCTTTAATAGCACACCTTAGTTTCATAAAGTAAGGGCAGTATGCTTGAAGCATATCACAAGGTTTTACATGTCACAGACCATTTGAAATTGATTTTTGATGGCTCTTGGAATTTGAAAATAGAAGAGAATTGGGAGACCTTATGGATAACCTACCTGATAGCTTCAAATTTGAAGGCCCATTTAGGTGCAATATGCTAGATCTAGGCATATTGGTATGTAGCACGTTGTATTATCACTTTGTTTTAATACAATCAATTAATTGTGACCTTATTCTGACCTAATTAATTATGTCCTGTTCCATGTCTTTTTTTCCCCTCCTTAGTATATTTAGTGCTTTCTAGGGTAGATAATTGACTGAAATCACTCAGTTTTTGGTATCTCTTTTAAAGCTCAGAATAATTTTCATTGATAAGTAGAGCATTCGAAGTACTTCTTGCTGTTACCTCAATCTGAGGAAGTCCAGCTTCAGCAACATAATTCTGCAGTCTTCCACAAAATCTTTTTACTGTGTTTTTATCTCAGTTTCACTTAATACTGTAGTTGCATGTATATAGATGTTTTTAGAGGATGTCAATACGATGAAGAGTTAGGTTGGCAAGGTATTCTTCAGGCTTCTGATGTCATGCTATAACATTTTGAATGAGGTCTTCAAAAACAAAGGTGCAAAGCTTCTTTTATTTGTTACAGGGTTAGATTTTCTGTTATTTGGTATCATTTGACTGGCTTCATTAATCGGAGAAGGCATTTGCTGTAGTGCAGCTGAGATCAGAATCAAACTTTTAATTCCTTGAATGATAAAGTTAGAGGAATGGAAGAAAAAAAAAAAAACATGAACAGAGTCACTTTCCTGACTTCATCTATTTGTGGTGACAGCTTATGATACTAAAATCTTCTTGTACTGACAGAGGAACATGTTTTAAAACCTACTTAAAGATGATCTAGAAAGGAAACAACAAGGCTTGTGTATGCATACATGCATTCTTACTTTTTAGAAAACCTTGTC